ACCTCGGGCTGGCTCGACCTGAAACCGCCGGAGGAGGAGGCGCCTGCCCCTGCGCCAAGGAAGACCTGGGGTAAGGCAAAGGCGATGGCGGCGAATGCCGCACGCGTGCCGGAGGCGGGCGAGGTGCTGGCGGGGCAGGCCGCCGCACAGTGAGCAGTGTACTCGCTTCTCTCGTTGAGCATGTGTGTGTATAGTTTGTGTTGTGCGGCGAGTCTGAGTACTAGAGTGGCGAGACGGCTGCGTTGTACTGTGCCGGCGGTGAGTAGTATGATCTGATGCGCACATCGAGCCGCGAGCGAAGAAGATTCGAGACCATCAGATCGCGGTGCGTCGTCGGCTCGCCTCCGCCGCGCTGTGTCAGCTGAGAGTGCAGTCTCGAGCGCACATGCGCTCGCACACGCGGTAGCAGCAGCGACCACGCCTGCACACGCGCGAGCCGCGTGTGTGAGCACGCCGAGCCACTTTGCCGAGGCCAGACGCGCTTCGGGCGCTCGACTGTGCGCTGCTGGAGCTCGCCCGCTGCAGTTTTGCGATTGCCGCCAGCACTTCCTCCGACGACCGTCGAACCGAGCGTGCTGTAGCGAGCCCCGAGCACGCGTCGTGTGCGGTCTCCTGGTGCCGTGGGACCGCCAATGGACCAGCAGGGGCGGCAGGCAGCCACAGGTCCGCGTCGGTGGCCTTGCAGGGCGCCGCCAGACGCAATCACCCTCGACGGCGCTGTGGCCGTGAGTGGAAATAGGCCTTCCAGCCCCTTTCGGCACCGCAGCGCGGTCCTACGGCCGATGGCGGCCGCCCCGATGGCCCAGCTGGCCAGGCCGGGTCGGCTGCATGTCCAGGCTGGCCGTGGGGGTCATTGTTGGGTCATTGTGTCTCGTTTGAACACGGTTTTTTGGCCGACGCAGAAGATCCTCTAGAGGATCTTCTGCCGGGAACCAATTAGGTGCCCTGTAGGCTTGGCTGCAAAGGGGATTTTTGTTGTGCCGACTTCGATCTTCGTGTGTGCTCCGCTTCTGAGAGAGAGATTTTGAGACATGAGAGAGAGAGAGAGAGAGAGAGAGAGAGAGAGAGAGAGAGAGAGAGAGAGAGAGAGCCGAGATAGAAAGAGAGAGATTTTGAGTGAGACGGTTTAGAGAGAGAGAGAGAGAGAGAGAGAGAGAGAGAGAGAGAGAGAGAGAGAGAGAGAGAGAGAGAGAGAGAGGGAGGGAGGGAGGGAGTACATTTCTTTCTAATTTTATTTCGCCAGCTCGAGCTGTGCTTAAAAGTTAAATCTCTCTACAACCTCCAATCCCCGTCCTTGCTTGCGTCCCCCCATGCCGGTGTGTCCAGTCGCTGGCCAGCCTCTTCTAAACCAACACTCCCGTTTCCCAAGAAAAGAAAAGTCAAACCCTTCCTCGATTTCCGCGAGCGGCGTCTCACAAAAAGCCTAGCCGTCCCGGCGCAAGAAAAGCCTTGCCGCCGAGCTGTCATTCCTTCTGCAGGCCGCGTGCAGCGACGCGCGAGTCCTGGCGGCGCAGCCGCCCCGCCGTGCGGACCATGGCCAACCAGCCCGTCGACGCGCCCGACGACGTGACCTCAGCCGGTAAGTGTCGAGAGCGCCCCCCGGCCAAAAGTCGACGATCCTCGCTCGCCGCCTCGCCCCTTCCGGCGGCGCGGCGGCGCCCGCGACGGGCGGCTCGCCCCACGGCGCACCCCGCCGCCGTAGGTACTCGAGGTGCTCGCCCTCCAACGACGCCGCGGGGGCGGAGGGCCGCGACCCGCTGGGCCGGCTGCCGCCCCCGCGCCTGCCGCCCCCGCGCCGCCCCCGCGCCGCCGTCGGCGGCGTCCAGCGCAAGCGCCGCCGCCGCGTCGCGCGCCGCGCGGGCAGCCTCGACGGACCAGAAGCCGTGCTCGTCGTACCCGGCGTCCCACACGCCCAGCGAAGGGCTGAGTGCCGTCGCGAGACCTCGGCACGCCTGCGCACGCCTGCGCACGCGGCAGAGCGACAGCAGCACCACCCTCGTCGGGCGCCCACGAAGCGTACTCGCGGGTCGCCGCTCCGTCGACCGAAGGCCGAGACACTTGCTCCGACGCCACCCCGCCCCCGCCCCGCCGGTCCGGCACCGATATCTCGGAGGACGACCTAAGGAAGAGCGTGGCGGCGCGTCGCCGGGGGACGGCGCGCTCGTGCTCTCGCCGCGAGATCGAGGGAGGGGGGGGGGGGGGCTGCCCCCCGGAAGAGCGCCGGGGCGAGGGGTGCGTGTGCCCCCCCCGCGGAAAAGCGCGCGGGTGAGGGGAGGGGAGGTGCGCGCGCGCCGTCCTGCAGCGTCGCCGGCCGCAGGCCAAGGAGCTCGGCTCCTCGAGAGCACCGACGGACGACGATCGGCTCCTCAGCAGTGGGACGCCGAGCTGGAGGCTCGGCCCGGAGCTCGCGCGGGCACGTGGAGCTTTCCGCTCGGGCCAGCAGGAAACGGGCGCCCCGCACAGCGACGCCCGCCGTAGAGTGCCGAGAGCTCGGCTCGACGCGAGCGCCGAGGAAAAGCGATCGGCTCCGCAGCAGTGGGACGCCGAGCTGGAGGCTCGGGCGGGAGCTCGCGCGAGCACATAGCGAGGTGCGTGCGCGGCGGCGTGACACAGGTGAGCGGGCAGCTGGCGCACATTTCGACTGTGGGAGCTGCCAGGAGTTTGCTCTCTCCGTTCACACCCCTTTGCAGAATATCAGAGCTCTGAACGGCTGATCTGTGAGCCCCCCAGCACAGTAGGGATTGATTATGATCAGATCCATCACTCACTGGCCGGGGTTGAGCTCTTCTCGACGATAAGCCGCGTGCAGCGTGCCTGAAGTTCAGCCCCGCACGACGCACAGACGTGCCGGCTAGTGGGCTGCTAGCGCTCTGCGGGCAGCAAATGTCGCACTTCTGGGCCACCACGCCGGTGATATGACCTAACCCGGTCAGTCTGAGGCTGCAGCCATGATGGTTGCGCTCCTCCTGGTGTCGGCGGACCACTTCTCGGCTTGAGCTAGCGACGAGAATGATCAGCGTGAGGTGGACTCACGAGGGAGGCCGAGGGTCGCCATGTTGGGCACACAGGTGCCATCCAGGCAGAAGTATTGACCAGACAATGAATACGGACAATATCCTTACAAAGAGAGCGATGCCTTCCCACCTGCTGACCGCTTCTGCGGTGGTCGCCACCAATGCAACGACGGCACTCGCCGGCCACGTTGCTGGCCAGCACCAACAATTCTGGGCGCCGGTCGGCCCGAGGCATTGCTAGGCCTGCTCAGGCCGTGCCACATGAGCACTGAATGGCCTCGCAGGCGGCTCATGGGGCCGGTGACGGCGCCCTGCGCCGAAGATCCCAGGGCGGATCTTCTGGCCGGCACTTAAGAGATACGGCCACGGAGGCTAATGACTGCACTCCAAGTGCTCCAAGTGCTCTGCTTTCGGCGCAACTTGAGCTTGGGATGTCTTTATTTATTTATTTATTGAGCCGCTGATCGAGCCCAGCGTGCCCGCGGCCGCCTCCCGCGCAGCAAGCACCGACCGCCGCTGGGGACGACACGCTGCGGAATCGGATCGAGCCCATCCATGGAGGAGGAGGGCGCAGTCGGCGAATTGCTGATCGCTCAAGTGTCGGCCAATGACAAAGGGTTTGCCGACGAGGTGGCAGACTTGGACGGCGAGAAAGGAGGGCCTTGAGGTCGATCTCATTGCTAAAAATCTCTCTCTCTCTCTCCGATGCAAAACAAAACAAATGTTTGGTATTGCTAAAAATCTCTCTCTCTCCCGATGCAACCACCACCGATGCGGGGTGGCATGAAGGTTGCAGCGAGAATCGGCGAGAGACTGCGAAGAGAGATAGGAAGAGGCGGACGCCCAAGGGTGGGCGATGGCTAGCGCATCACACCCCTCTCCTTAAAATCCCTGTGTGGTGGCGGCGTGCCGTTCTTCCATCCCTCCTTTGGGTTGTCTGTTTTCTTTCTTTCTTTCTTTACCCTCCCCAAAAGTGGGTGATCTGGTGCTTGTAGGGCTTGAGAGTGGCCTGCCATGTCATAGGAAGGACGAAAGACTGTGGTTGCAGGAGAATACCACCACCCATCACTTTAAGTTGGTATAGTAAAGAAAGAAAGAAAACAGACAACCCAAGGGAGGGATGGGAGGACGGCACGCCGCCACCACACACACAGGGATTTTAAGGAGAGGAGTGTGGTGCTAGCCGTCGCCCACCCTAACCCTTGGTCGTCTGCCTCTTCCTATCTCTCTTCGCAGTCTCTCGCCGATTCTCGCTGCAACCTTCATGCCACCTCGCGGTCGTCCCACTCTCGTCGTTCTCCCTCCTGCCGCTTCCTCCTCTGTCGCGTCGCTCTCGTCTCCCACCTTCACCCAACCTATGATTTCTTTTTTAGTTTCCCTTAAGTAGGGTAGGTAGGTAGGTAGGTAGGTAGGGGCACCGCAGGGGAGGTTTTCTTGCATTTTTGCTCCCGGCTGAGGGAGCAAGCAAGCCCACTCAACCCCAAGTACTCACCGTTTTACAGTGGTGTTTTTTCCACATCGGCTGCAGCCTCTGCTGGGGCGGAACGCGCGGGGTTTTCGGCGCGATGCCCTCGGCGAGTACACGCTACTGCTCTGCCGCAAGCTCTCCTGCGCGCGCGTGACGTGTGGGACGCGTGCGCTGCGCTCAAACGTCGCGATTTGGCGATAGGCGCTCGAGCCGGCGCACAGCGGATAGGTGCGCCGCGCAGGGGGGGTCGGAGGTGTGAGAGAGGGGGCGTGGGTCGGGCGCGCACCGGCTGGCTCCGGGAGCGGCCGTCACGTCGAGGAGTGGGGCTGTCGGCGGCTCGAGCGCCGAGGCGAGCTGCTCTGCTGCGCCGCCGACAGCCCCTCTTCCGAGCCGGCGAGTGGAGGCGAGCCGCGGCCGGTGTCGCTGGTGCGGTGGCGGCGAGGGTTCATCGGCCGGCAGCGAGAGCGACCGTCATGAAAGGAGGGGGGGGGGAGGGGGGGGGGGGGGCTGTCGGCGGCCGGTGTGGCTCTAGGCGCGCCTACGCTGCGCCGCCGCGAGCCTCACTGCCGATCCGGCGCCTGGCGGCGGGGGCGAGCCGCGAACAATCGTCGCTGGTGGTGGTGGTGCGGCGGCGGCGGCTCGCCCTTCACTCCAGCCGCGGCTCCGTTCCCGCCGCCGCCCACCGCACCTACCACACGCCGCCGAGCAGGCACCCGGCTCAGGGTGGAGTCGGTCGGGCCGTCGGTGCCGGAGCGGCGGCAGTCCATCGTGCACGTGCACGGCGCCTTTGCGCGCCGCGTTGCGGGGCGAGGCGCGCTTGGCGGAGCGTGTGGTGCGTGGAGAGGCGTGTGTTGTGGGGCTGTCTGTCCGCTGTGCTGGCTGCAGCCACAGCCTGCAGCTTCGGTGCCGTCGGTGCCGGAGCGGCGGCAGTCCATCGTGCACGTGCACGGCGCCTTTGCGCGCCGCGTTGCGGGGCGAGGCGCGCTTGGCGGAGCGTGTGGTGCGTGGAGAGGCGTGTGTTGTGGGGCTGTCTGTCCGCTGTGCTGGCTGCAGCCACAGCCTGCAGCTTCGGTGTTTGTGTAAGTCAACTTGTGCGGCTGGCCGCCTTTTGGCACTGGTGTGTGGCGTCCTGTCTTTCTTGACGTCTAGCGGAACCACCGTGAAGTTCTCCCGCAGGGTTGATCTAGGTGTGAACAACATCTCGCGCTCAAATCTCCGACTGGTCGTTGCAGATCCCATCCCATCCCATGCGCCGCACGCCGCAAGAGGTGCGTCGCCTTCAAGGCCAGAGAGTCGCGTTGCGCGACCTCGCGAGCCGTACCGAGCTCAACGGTAAGGTGGGCCGTCTCGCGGGAGTTGACGGTGAGCGGTGGAAGGTGGAGCTGGACGGCAGCGGCGAGGTGGTGAAGGCTCGCGAGCGCAATCTGGAGCTGACGGGCCTCGCGGAGACCGCCTCGCTCGCTGCCGCGCTCGACGACAAGCCGTATGAGTCGTACAAATTGCCGCCGCTGCACCTCCCTCGCTACCACCATTATGTGCGAGCGGAGGCGAATGGACGCCGCGAGCCGACGCTCGAGGACGTGTGTCTGCTCGAGTACGAAAAGTTCGACGACGGCAGCAAGCTGTGGCCGGTGCTGGAGAAGGAGAGGGAATGGGACCTCGAGGCGCGCCTCCACGACTTCCTGCTCGCCGACGCCTACGAGCCGCCGAAGGGAGAGGAGCTCAACCGCAAGGCGCCGCTCGCGGCAAAGGCGGCGCGGCGCAAGCGGCGGGAGAGGCTCGAGTACTTCCTCTCGAGCGAGAAGCTCCGCGAGCAGATGCTGGAGATGGAGGCGCAGGAGAAGGCCGACCTGCAGCGCGCGCGAAAGGCGAAGAACAAGGCCGACCAGACGGCGCGCGACAAGGAGGCGCACGCGCACTTCCAGCGCATCACCGTCCACCTCGGCTCCGGCACGCACGCGCCCAACGTCGGCGGTGACATCCAGGAGGAGCTCCGCGCGATCCAGCGGCGCGACGAGCGGGTGCGCACACCCCCGCTCTCACCTCCACCCCTCCCACCCGCACCGACCCTCCACGCCGCGCACGCTCAGGAGGGCCGGCGCGCCTTTTCTTTCAAGGAGAATTCTTGCATTTTTGCTCCCGGCTAAGGGAGCAAGCAAGCCCACTCAACCCCAAGTACTCACCATTCTTACAGTGGTGTAGCTTGTGCAGAGGCTGCAGCCTCTGCTGGGGCGGAACGCGCGGGGTTTTCGGCGCGATGCCCTCGGCGAGTACACGCTACTGCTGTGCCGCACGCTCTCCTGCGCGCGCGTGACGTGTGGGACGCGTGCGCTGCGCTCAAACGTCGCGATTTGGCGATAGGCGCTCGAGCCGGCGCACAGCGGGCGGGTGCGCCGCGCAGGGGGGGTCGGAGGGGTGCGAGAGGGAACGTGGGTCGGGCGCGCACCGGCTGGCTCCGGGAGCGGCCGTCACGTCGAGGAGTGGGGCTGTCGGCGGCTCGAGCGCCGAGGCGAGCCGCTCTGCTGCGCCGCCGACAGCCCCTCTTCCGAGCCGGCGCGTGGAGGCGAGCCGCGGCCGGTGTCGCTGGTGCGGGGGCGGCGAGGGTTCATCGGCCGGCAGCGAGAGCGACCTCATGAATCGCGCCACCAAGACCGCGCGGCACGTACGCGCACTTGCCGGCCTCGAGGCGCGCTCTCCTTGCGCGGCATGCCCTGTGTGTGTCAGCGCTTCGCCTCGGAGCCGCTCGACTGTACGAGAGTCGGGCTCCGGCCCTCGGTACCACGGCAGCGACGGCGTGCTCCCTTCCGGCCGCGACAGGCGCGAGGCGGGTGGCGGTGCGGCGGCTGCTGATGCTGCTGCCGCGCAGAGCTGTCGTGCACCCGAGAAGTGGCACACAGCTCGAAGGCGGCGTCGGCGACCGCCGCGCTGGCTCTCTCTCCTCGGCAGACGCCGCGTCGCGTCTCGGCGGCGGCAGCTGCTTCGCCGCGAGAGTAGCGAGGCGACGCACGCGCCTCCGCTCTGCGGCAGCAGCCTCTAGCGAACGCGCCGGCATAGCGCCGGGCCGGGCGAGGGCGAGCCGAGAAACACGTTGTGACGGCCCTCGTGTGAATCGCTTATCCGGCGCTCGAGGAAATAACACGGTTCGGGCTTCAAGTTACTTCGAAACCTGTAACGGCGAAAGAAAACGGAGGAAAACGCGAGAAAAGAGAAGGGCCATTGCTCAAACTCTCTCTGAGAAGAATAGGTGTGCTGCGCTGTAGCGGCGACAGGCGACGGCAAAAATGCAAGCCCCGCCCCTGGCCACTGTTCTATAATTTCGCCCAGCAAAAAAGAAAACACAAGGCCGGAGTGTAGGTTGTCGGCGAGAGCCCGCCTGTGTGGACTGTGGCCAGGACCTGCCACCGCCCTGCGCCCACAGCAATGTCGTCGCCCAGCCTGGACGGCGGCCTCTTGGAGGGCCTGCTCGAGAAGAAGCCGGTCAGCGTGCTCGCGCGCAGCATCGGCAGCACCTGGCGGCCGCGCTACATCGTGCTCCGCGCTCAAAGCCTAGAGTGGCACCACGGCGGCGACGAGAGCGGCGAACTGCAGGTGCTCCTCCTCGACGCCCGAGCTTCGCAGGTCCGAGCCGCCGGCGATGCGGGCGACGACGCGGAGCGCTGCCTCACCGTGAGCGGCACGGTGCGTGGCCAGCCTGTCTGCCTCGTGCTGAGGTGCTCCGACGCCTCCGAGCGAGACGCGTGGGTGCGCGCGGTCTGCCGGTGCATCGAGTCGCTCAAGGCCATCGTGTTTGACGCTGCCGTCGCCCAGGCGGAGCGCAACCTCGAGACCATCGCGCGCGAGCACGGCGCGCGGGTGCGCCGCGCCGCCGCGGTGCGCGAGGGCGTGCGGTTGCTGATGGAGCGCTTCTTCTCGTCGTCCGCGGCGGTCGCGTCTGAAACGGAGTCGTTCGAGCCCGACCAGGCGGGCCTGGCTGACGCACTCGCGTCGTGCCTGCTGACGCGGCAGGCGGAGGCGCGTGCGTGCGCGGCCGCCTCGCAGACCGAGGCCTCGGCTGCAGAGCCGCAGCAGGCGGCCCGGGAGCCGCGAGCTGCGGCTGTGAAGATGCGCTGCTCGCACCGTCTACCTTGTGAGCAGGCGGAGGAGGAGCTGCGCGAGCTGCAGCTCTTCTCGTGGCAGCCGCTCGTGGCGCGCGAGGTGGAAGAGAACGCCACTCAGCTCGTGCGCGGCTGGGGCGGCGCGGCCGACCTCTCCTCCATCGCGGCGCGCCTCGACTGGGCCCTCGGCATCTCGGAGCCCTTCGAGCTCGGCGTGTCCGAGCTCGGCCGCTTCTTGCCGGGCGAGCGGCTGCCGCCGCCGCCGCTGGACGGCGGCCCGCTCGCCCGGTGGCAGCACTACCGCGCGTGCGTGCACAGCGCCTTGGTGCGCCGGCTCGTCGCTCTCGCCATCGGCGCGCCCGCATCGCTGCGCGGCTTTGCGGCCGTGCTCGAGGCGCCCCACTCGCCGCGGAGGACATCTCGAGGACACGTCCAGACACGTCCCTCACACGCGTCCCCATCCTAAAGGCGCAGTACGACTCGCCGCTGAGATCGAGCCCGAGCGGGCAGCCGCCGTGGCTGCACGTCGCGCCCGATGGCACGCGGTGCAGGGTTCTGCGCCGCATCACCGACAGCGCCACCAAGCCGCTCGTCGTCGAGGCCGCGCTCGGCGACAGCGGCGCTCGCCTCACATTCTCCTTTTTTCACTGTTCACATCTGTCTTTCGTAGGTCGTGCTCGGCGACAGCGGCGCCGACGCGGCGGACGAGGCCGCCGCCGACGCCGAGGCGGACGCCGAGGCGGCGGCCGACGGCTCCGAGGCGCGCTTGCTGGCGCTGGCGATACAGGCCTCCATCGAGACCAAGGCGGAGGAGGACCGGGCGCTCGACACCGGCGCAGGCGGGCTGACCGAAGAGGAGCAGCTGGCGTGGGCACTCCGCGAGTCAGCCTCGCCCGCGTCGCCGCACTCGCCAGCCCAGCCGTCGCCGCCGTTGTCTGCAGAGCCGTCCTCGCCGCACCGGCCTGCCCAGCCGGTTTCGCCGTCTCCTGCACAGCCATCCGAGCCGGTTTCGCCGTCTGCAGCGGAGCCTTTGCCGCCAGCGCCGGCCGCGAAGCCCTCATCGCCGCAGCCAGCCGAGCAGTATTCGCCGCCGCCGCAGCCACCGCCGCCGTTCCCGCCGCCGCCGCCGCCGCCTGCGCCGCCGCCGCCGCCGCTCCCGCCAACGACATCGACGCCGACGACGACGTTTTCCGAGGAGCGTGCCGGCTCACCGCGGGAGGAGGCGGTCCCTCCGGCCGAGGCCGCTGGATCCACGCCGCAGCCGCCAGCCGCGGCAGCGCTGCGCTCGTCGGGGCTCGACTTGTCATTATCGCTCCCGCCCCCGCCCTCCGCCCTGCCCGCGCCGCCCTCCTCCATCGACGCTCCGCCGGGCGAGGACGCCGAGGCCGCCGAGGACACGAGAGCCGCGGCCGAGGCGGAGTGCCTCAGTCCTCGGCTCTCGCCCTCGGCCGGCCGCGCGGTGACGGCCCGCTACCTGTACAAGCGCGGCGACAACCTCTTCCAGGACGTGCTCGTCCTCATGCTCCTCGACGAGATGAATGCGCTCTGGCGCGCCGCGGGCTCCGCCGCCTTCACGCTGACGTACGCCGTGGTGCCGACCGCCGAGCGGGCCGGCTTCATCGAGCTGCTCCCCGAGGCGGTGCCGATTAAGGCCGTGCCCGACTTCACGTACTCGCGCGCGCTCCACCACTCCGCCGCCGGCGCCTTCATCGCCGGCTTCGTGCTCGGGCTCGCCGACCGGCACCAGGACAACATGCTGCTCGTCGGCCCGCGGCGCGACATCTTCGTGCACATCGACTTTGGGTACGTCGCCGGCGCGCGCCCGTGGTTCGACGCCAACCTGCTGCCGATCCCGGAGCGTTTCTACCGCTGCCTCACCGCCTCTGGCAAGTGGGACGAGTTCCTCAACGACTGCGTGTTCGCCTTCACCATCCTGCAGGCCAACCGCGCGGCGCTCATCGCCATCGCGCAGACCTTTGTCGAGCCGCTGGTGCGAGCCGGCTACCCCGAGTACATCGACAACGTGCTGCAGCAGCACACGCCGGACCAGGTGCGCGAGCTGGTGCAGGCCGCGCCAAACGACCTGGCCAGGCGGTTCAAAAACATGCATCATAAGCTGTCGCATTGACCATCAGTGTTTAGTCTGAGTGGTGTGTGTGTCGTTGTGTGTGCGTTTGGAGTTAAATAAATAAAAACGGACACCAGAGAGCTCGGGTTAGTAACGGATTTTGGCCCATGCGCATGCTCTTCCTCGTGCTCGCCGCGCGCTCGGGAGCCGGAGTGGCGGGGTCGGAGCTGCTGCAACGGCGCGAGTGGCCGCGAGGGGTCGTGCTGGGGCTCTCCAGAGGGCGAGACCACTACGCGGTGCTCGCGGCGGCGCACGGGGCAGCTTCAGCTGAAACAGAGCCTCAGCAGCGCCTTCAGGCAGTGCAGCACAACGCCAGTGGCCTCTCTGGAGCTATGCGGCGGCTGGCGGGCCTGTGCGACGGCGCCGATCCGTGGGCTCGGGACGCGCAGTCGGCTCGCGTGCCGGTTGCCGAGTCAGCCTGGCTGGCGAGAAGCGCCAAGGCCTTCCCTGCATTCTGGGCGCTGCCCAGAAGTGCGCAGTACCTTTGCTGCGCCGACGGGCGGCCTCGATGTGGATTGCCGCGAGTGGCGTGGGAGCCTCCAGTGGCGCGGTCGTTGGTCAACACCGCGGCGCGCGCGCGCCGCGGGTGCTGCACAACAAGCGGAATGCATGGGCGGGCGCTCGATCGCTCTCCGGCGCCCAACTTTGACTATCGATTGCCGCCGGTTATTATAACCGGTGGGAGATCGTTCCTGCAGACGGAGGGATTCAACGCGGCGATAACTGCCCGAGACGTCCCTAACCTTTATTTATTTCTGCCCTGCTTCAGGAACCGGGGGCCGTCTTCCTCAACCAACCAAACCTCATTACCGACTGCCGGTCGTTGGGGACACGTGACTCCTGCAAAGGGCAGTGTCTCCACCCGGGAGTCGGACATTCCAAACCCCCCCCTGCCTCCTCTCTCTCTCCCGAAGAACTCAGAGGAAGGGGGGGCCTCCTCCGGAGTGAGGATCTAGGTGAGGATGAGGACCTCGCGCGAAGAGGCCCTGGGCGGTGACGTCGTGTGAGAGTGCGTGTCGTGTGCATGTCTGGTGTTCATTATAGCTCCGAGTAGAGGGGGCGGTCTGCTGCTAGGGGAAACCCGGAGCGCGGAGCCAACCCTCGGAGACCCGTGTTTACTTTACGGCCCTCTCCCTGCGAACGCGCACCCCCTGGGCTAGGGCTCTCTTGCCCGCAACCCGATGCCAATCATCCGGCCCGCTGGGTGCGCTTCTGAGCTCCCCGGCCCTGGATGTGCGGTTAATGACTGCACTCCAAGTGCTCCAAGTGCCTCTCTACTGTGAGATGGGTAAAAAGGAACAGGTCCCCGCCCTTGCGATCTTTGTGCAGGGTTCTTTGTACGTTTGGAGTTGCACCTGAGGAAAAGATAATTTTACAACAAACTCCTCCCTCGCACTCAATGCACACGTCGACAGACAGACGCTCACACGGTACTCATCCCACTCTCAACGCCCGAGAGCTACGAGGGCGGCGGCACTGCCACTGGGTTCTGTCTGGTCGCGTGAGGCGCGGCCGCGGGCAAGCGGCCGGTGGTCGGACCGGAAATCTGACGAACCGCCGAGCGTCGTGTACGTGTTGCGGCCCGAGCGCGGCACCGCTATCCTCTATGGCGGCACGGTGCCGCACGCCGGCATGCCGGTTCTGCACATTTCGACGAGCACGGTCACGTTGAAGCACCCCTCCTCTCCACATAAACGCACAACCCCGGGCCCGAAATCGCACAGAGTCCTCGTTCTGCCGCCACAGAAACCGGATGGCCGCGCCAGCCGTGAAGAGGGAGTGTACTGCCCATGCCTCTCTATTTGCCCCTCCTTCTCGCTGGGCTGCTCGTCCGAAGAACACCGCCTCCGCGCTGCGGCCAGCCTCTCGCGTGTGCCTCCGAGCCGGTCTCGCAAGGCCGGACGCAGGCAGCGGTTGACGTGAGCAGCGCCAACTCCACCTACTCCAACCTCTGCCGGATGTGTGGTGTCTCGACGCAGCAGGATGCCGAGATGGACGTGGACGGCTTCGTACTCGCCTTTGAACAGCTCTTCTGCAACGGCGCTGCGCTCGCTCCGGAACTTGCGGACGAGCTTTGCGCCGCCGTCAGCGCTGCTGATGGCGAGGACGTGAGCCGCGCGGGCTGGGCGGCGTTCCACGCGCGGTGGCAGGAGGCGAGCTCGGCTGCAGCGCACCTCGCGGCGATGACTGCGTCGCGGCGCGAGGCGGCGGCGCTGGCTGAGAAGGAGGCGCGGCTCGCCGAGGCGGTGGAGCGCGAGAGGGCGTGGGTGGAGAAGCAGGAGGAGTACATCCTGGCGCTCGCCGAGGCGAAGAAGGCGGCCAAGGAGGCGGCGGCCAAGGCGGCCGAGAGCGCGCGGCCAAAGCTGATGGCCGACCTGGCGAGGCGGCCGGGCAACTGGTTTGAGCAGAGGGAGGGCGCGGCGCAGGTGGCGGCTGCGTACCGCTCGCTCGACCCGGAGGCGTGGGAAGAGGTGACACGGTCGGTGGGCGGGCTCGGCGAGACGCTGGAGACGATCCGGAGGCGCATCTGGGTGCCTCTCTGCGCGCCTCGCTACCTGCTCGACGAGCTCGGCGCCGAGCGGGTCAAGGGGCTGTTGCTGTACGGCCCTCCCGGCTGCGGTAAGTCGTACCTCGCCTCGAGGCGCACGGCTGTATCTCGGCCACATCTCGGCGACATCTCGACCACACCTCGGTGACATCTCGGCTGCACCTCGGCCACATCTCGGCCACACCTCGCCTCGAGGCTTTGCCAAGCGGGAGCTAGCGGCCACAGCCTGCGCACACGCCCGTGTGAGAGGCGCGGGGCCCGCCACGTAGGCTCGCGCACGGGCTCTCTCGCCGGCCCGCCACGCTGGTGAGCGGGCCCGAAATCATGGACAAGTGCGTCGGCGAGTCGACGAATCAGCCGGTTGCCCCTCCACTCATCTCCCGCCGCCTGCTCCTCGAGGTACGTCGGCAACTCGGAGGCGCAGCTGCGAGACCTCTTCCTCAAGGCAGCGGCAGTAGCAGCGGGAGAGGAGTAGTCGCGAGCGACTCGGGCGGCAGCGGCAGCAGCAGCAGCAGCGGCGGCAGCAGCAGCAGTAGCAGCAGCAGCAGCAGCAGGTACGGACACCCTCTGGTACAGCGTCCTCCCCGCCTTCTTCTTCTGCAGGCGCCGAACGTGCCCGCGCGGCCCGGAGACGCCGAGGACGTCATGATCGCAGCCGAGGACAACGAGCTCCACGTCATCGTTCTGGACGAGTTCGACGCGATCGCCCGCCGCCGCTCCGAGGACAGCGGCTCCTCCGAGGGGGGCGCGGCGCGCGACTCGGTGGTCAACCAGCTGCTCGCGCTGATGGACGGCGTCGCGGGGCTGCCCGTACCCACCTTCGTCGTCGCCCTCACCAACCGGCGCGAGCTCGTCGACCCCGCGGTGCTGCGGCCGGGCCGCCTCGAGGTGCAGGTCGAGTGCGGCATGCCCGAGGCCACGGGCCGGGCAGCCATCCTCCGCATCCACCTCGAGCGGATGCGAGACTCCGGCCGCCTCGCCCTCGACGGCGGCGCGGCGGCCGGCGGCGAGTGCACGCTCGAGCGCGTCGACGAGCGCGCATTCGGCGCGTGGGTGGACGGCCTCGCCGCGCAGACGGAAGGCTTCTCCGGCGCCGCAATCTCCGGGCTGGTGCGCGCCGCCGTCGCGCGCGCACTCGACCGCGCCGTCTCGCTCGCCGACACCGCCGGCTGCCGCGTCACCGGCGCGGACTTTGGCGCCGCCATCGCCGACCTCCGCAGCTCGTCGCTCGAGCTGGAGCAGGCGGGGACCGCGGAGGGGGGGGCGGCCGACGCGGACCCCGATGCCGCGGGGCGGCGGCAGCAGCAGCAGCAGCAGCAGCAGCAGCAGCAGCAGCAGCAGCAGCAGCAGCAGCAGCAGGCCGTGCAGGCCGTGCGAGGATCATGAGCTCCATCAACCTCTCTCGGCGGCCCGCCCTACCTCTGGCCTAGGCCCCGGCGGCACGGCGCTCTTAACGACAGCCGGCTATACAGCTCGTGCCGCCCCCAAGCCGCAAGCGCCCCGCGGTCGGCCCTGCGCGCAGCGCGGCGGCGTTCCACCTGTCCGCTGTCGGAGCCTGTCGTTGAGGGTTGAGCGAGTTGTGGGGCACGCCGCGCTCTATATACTACTTACAATACTCTACTCTCTCGGGTGTGCTTCCGCGGTGGTCAGGGCGCTTCCGCGCGGGCCGCCCGCGGGTGACGGGTGTGTACGTAGTTCGTAGTACGGTTCGTAGGAAGTACGTACGTGTCTCTGAGACTGAGTCTCGCGGCGGCGCGTCGGACTCGCGGGCGGCGGCGGGCGGGGGACGCGCGGCGCGCGCCACCGCGCGGGCGTTTCGAGATTCGCGGTTTTTCGAGTAAAAAAATAAGCGCGGCGAGTCGATCCGGCCATCGACTGAGCCCCTTATCGATGTATCCGTGCGTTAGCGAACGATCATTGCATCACAACTCGACACATTGCTCCTTGGCTCCTGGCCGTCCCGCCACACTCAACTCACACACAATATAATGTCATCTGCCGCCCCGCGTCTCGCTTCGCCTCGCCGCTCTTCCGGCGGCGCGATTTTTCGCCTTCTCCTTCTTCCCAACAGGCCCGCGACGCTTCGCCTTGCCTTCCTTCTTCTTGCGCCTCGCGCCAGCGGCCAGCTTGCTTTTGTAGCCGGGGATGGCGGTCGCCAACGGCTGGTCGAGGTTGAACTTCTTCTCCTTGGGCCGCGGCGCGCTCGTGCCTCGTTGCTCGGCGGGACGGCCGCGCGGCCGCGGCTCTGGCTCCGGCTCCGGCTCGAGCGACTCGACCACGGTGGTGGCCGTCATGCCTTGGAAGTCGTAAGCCACCTCGTCGAGCGGCGCGGCGGGTGGTGGTGCTGCTGCGGCGGCGGGAGCGCGAGACTTCGCGCCGCTGGACGCGGCGGCCGCCGGCTCGCCGAGCGCCTCGCCCAGTCCGATGCCGCGCAGGCCCTTCAGCTGCTCGCGCTTCTCCTTGCGCTCCTGTATCTTCTCCTGCCGCACCTCCTCCGCGATGCGCTGCCGCGCCTTTTGCCGGCGCTCCACCTTGCGCTTGTGAAAGCCGGTGATGAACTCCTTGCGCGCCTTCTCGTCAAAGACGAGGACGGCCTTCTTGCCCATCGCTGAGCGGTTTGGATGGGCCTTGCAGGAGGGCGACTGGAGTGGGAAGCGCCCGGATCGCCTGGCGGCTTGCTGGCGGCTTGGGCACGAATCCCTCCGTCACAAAAAAGTTTGCTTTGAGGTCCTCGGAAGAGCTGATCGTAACTGGAAGACGATTAACCAGTTGCGTGCAAGCCCCGCAGAGGTGCGGGCGAGAGGGCGGCCCGAGCCCGAAAGGGCCCGCCCTCGACCTTGCTCTACATGGTAACGGATAAGAAGAGAAACTATGGTCTATGGAGACCGGGACACCGGGACACGCTGTGGTTCAGACGTCCCCCCCCTCGACGCAGTCGAGTGACTCACATGAATAGGGAGGAGAAAATGCCCCCCACATATCACCACAGACGCAGCACAGGGGCTCCAATCCTGTCCCAGCCTGGGGGCCTCGGCTAGATCTCCAGTGGGGAGTGCGAGGGCTGGATCGACTGCAGCGAGAGTGTGGGTTGTGGACCGTCCAAGGGATAGCGTGTGGCATAGATGTTCCCCTGGAAGTAGAGAGGCTGATGTCTCTCGCCCTGCAGGAAGGAGAAACTCGGACGGCTGAGTGAAAACTCCTCCCTGCGGCATGTGCGCAGAACGGGTTGCGCAATGTGCGGCATCGTGTTGACTGTTGAGGGCTCGGGAGGGCAACGAGGGCAGCGTTGCCGAGCTTGTACAGGGGCCTCAATCCTGTCCCCGATGGAATGCGCCTCTCGCCGCGCGCGTAGCAGTCGGCGCGCGGTAGCCTCAGAGATGCGCAGAGCGGGATGCGGGTATCAGCAAACCAAGCCCTGGGCTTGGATGGGCGCGGCGAAGCCGCGGCGCAGTGGATAGCGTGAAGAACTCGAGATCGCTGGGATCTTGAGCCGCCGCTGCCACGTGCAAGCCCCGCAGAGGTGCGGGCGAGAGGGCGGCCGAGCCCGAAAGGGCCCGCCCTCGACCTTGCTCTACATGGTAACGGATAAGAAGAGAAACTATATGGACCGGGACACGCTGTGGTTCAGACGAGTTGATCGCCAGGGGGTGCCAGTGATCGCCTTGCGGGGGGAGCGGGGGACGTTCCCCTCGACAGCCCGCGTCTGGACTTTTCCTTTTGGGCACTGCCTGGCTGGAGACTCTCCCCCCCACACACAAAAGAAATGATGCGGCGCCACTGTGACTTCTGCTAAATTTGGGGGGCGGCAATTTCACAGACAGACGTGACAGCATGCCTGCAGAAGTAGCAGCCCGCCTCCGTCAAACTCTCACACTTCCAACAGCGGGACCGGCTACGTAAAGTGCTGAGCCCTGGCCTCGACACCTCGACACCAAACCTCGACACCGACTCGACACCTCGACACCCCATGCCAACTCGACCAACTCGACACCCCTCGACACCCCTTGACACCATCTAGGCTGGGACCATGCTCGTCCGTGTCAAGGTGCCAAACTCGACACCTCGACACCGCTCGACACCGCTCGACACCGCTCGACACCGCTCGACACCTCTCGACACCGCTCGACACCGCTCGACACCACCTCGTCACCTCTGATGATCCTAACACAGCAGAGACGTAGAGAAGACCCATTTGGAATCACAGAGTTAGAAAATCAGGGTTGCAGCAGCAATCAAACTTGGCTGGCAGTACTTTCATCCCTCAGTTGCAGCCTCTTAAGTTCTAGCTCAAGTTGCAGCTCAGTCGCACCCCTGCAATGACCAATGTAGCAACCATGGCAGTACTCAGAGGTGGCCCTCAGGTGCTGCACAGCACCTTGTACAGTGGCAATGAATCCTCACACCAGTGAGCTTGTGCCATGAGTGCAGACCTGTGGTCCATTGCGCTTTGTGCACTGGCGACGCTGACCGCTCGAGGCGCTCGAGGTCGGCGACGAGGCCGCCGTCGCGGAGATCGCGAATGTGCTTGTCGCGCTTTTTGATCTCTCCGACTCCGTGCTGGAAGTCGATCTTTTCCTGCAGATTCCGAATCTGAAGCCTGCAGGTCGCTCGAGGCTGCCATGCTGGACCAACTGCCGGAGTTGGACGCAAGAAGAAAACGCCGCGCGTCCTCCCTTGGGTTATCGGCTCCTGTATAATGGGGTCTTTTCATCGCAGCGCAGATCTATCGCAGCGCACTCGCCATCTGCGAGCCTAGCGCAGCGCGAACTCGCCGTCTGAGCCTAGCGCAGCGCGAACTCGCCGTCTGAGCCTAGCGCAGCGCGAACTCGCCGTCTGAGCCTAGCGCAGCGCGAACTCGCTGCAACCCTAGCCGAGCTCCATTTTTTCATCTGACGGCGGACGGGCACGCCTACGAGCGGACGGACTTGGAGCACTTGGAGTGCAGTCATTAGCCTCACATCCAGGGCCGGGGAGCTAAGAAGCGCACCCAGCGGGCCGGATGATCGGGATCGGGCTACGGGCTAGAGAGCCCTGACCCCTAGGGGGGTGCGCGTTCGCAGGGAAAGGGCCGTAAAGTAAACACGGGTCTCCGAGGGTTAGCCCCGCGTACCGGGTTTCCCCTTAACTGCAGGACGCCCCCTCTACTCGGAGCTAAAGAATACTCTCCGAGGGTTGGTTCCGTGTACCAGGTTTCCCCTTAACTGCAGAACGCCCCCTCTACTCGGAGCTAGTGATACGAGAATACGTACCGCCCCCACGCAGGGCCGTACTATTTCTTTCAACAGCCCTGGCCGGCCTTTTCAGGCCTTCCGCGGTCCCAGTCACTCGTCAAGTCACGGTAGCGCGCCTTTTGCCCCACACGATGGCATCCACAGCCGACGCCGAGGCGTGGGAGACGGACGAGCGCGGCTACGTCTTTGAGGAGCGGCTCGCGACCGCGGCGGAGCACAAGGACCGCGGCAACGAGCACTTCAAGGCTGGCGAGTGGCAGATCGCGCTGCGCCGGTACGAGCGCGCGCTCTACCACTGCGCCTTCGACCCGATGCAGATGTACGACCTGATGGAGAAGCACAAGGCAGCCGCGTACGCCGTGCAGACGCCCGTCAAGCTCAACTACGTCGCGTGCGTGCTGCAAATGCGCGAGGCGGGGCTGGACGTCGCGCCGGTGCAGGTGGAGGGCGAAGAGGAGCCGCGCGATCCGCTGGACCGGTGCGAGGAGCTGATTGGCGAGGTGCTCAAGGCCGAGCCGAACCACGCCAAGGCGCACTTCCGGCGCGCGCAGCTGCTCCGCGCGCGGGGCGACACACGTGCCGCGCAGGAGGCGCTCGAGGAGGCGGAGCGGGCGGGAGGCGGCAGCGCGAGCGTGCGCGCCGAGCAGTCGCGGCTGCGCGAGATGGCGCGCGCCGAACGGTCGCGCGAGCGCGAGCTCTACTCAGGCATCATCCAGCCCTCCTCCAACGTTAAGGCCGCGGATGAGGCGGCGGAGCGGAGAGCGCGCCGCGGGCAGCTGGTGGAGACACTGGCGCTGCCCGTGACGGGGCCGCTGCGCGCACTGTGGTGGGCCGCCGCCGCCCTCGTCTCGCTGCTGCGGAGGCTGTTCGCCGTGCTGCTCCGTCTGCGCCCCGACGGCGCGCTCGAAGCCGTGGAGTAGGGCGCAGACGAGGTCGTACGATGTTGGCACCGGGCACCGCCTCGCTTGTTTTATTTATTTATTTATTGGGCACGGCACCCTGGCTGCTCTTTCTCTTCGAGCTTGGATTGGGCCGCCCTGCAGTCCTCCACATCCTTAAAGTCTTAAAGTGGAGCCAGCACTCCTTTGTCAAACGTGTGTCCAGCGTAATTATGCTCGTAGTGGTCCTTGTCCCCTATTCTTTGCACGTCGCCGCGTTTTCTTCATCGAGGATCGAGCCGCTCTGCGCTGTGCTGCCTCCTCGGCTCGACGCCAGCGTTGCGCGCCGCTCGACCAACAATGCAGCTGCTCGACGCCAGCGTTGCGCGCCGCTCTGCGCTGTGCTGCCTCCTCGCCTGCAGTAGCCTGAAGCAGCTTCCTCCAAGTTACGCTGCGCAGCTTGGCGAGGAGCTCAACCCTCCGGTGATGTTCGACAGCAGGCCGTGTGTCAGGCGCACGGCGCTGGGCGCCTGTGCGGAGCAGGGCGGCAGCGCTGGAACGAGTACGACCGCTCCAGGTTCGCGGCGCGTGGTCGAATCCAGCCCGGCGAAGGAGATTGAGCCCGAGTCTGACCTCATTCGGGAGCTGCGGCAGCGGAGTGCCGCCAACGCCGCGATTAATGAGGAGCTGGTCAGAGAAAAGACGCTCGCCAACGGGCTTCCTGGTGGCTTTGGCCCGTTTTCGAGCTCCACGGCTGTCATGGGCAACGACGGCAGTATGGTCGTCCTCAAGCGCGGACGGTACGAAAATCTCAAGGACAAGGGCAAGATCTACAAGTCTGCGTCCGGCCTGGAAAAGTTCGTGGACGGCTTCGACCCTGCTGCGCCCGAGCCTGCTCGGCAGAAATTCCTGGGCCTCTTCTAGCAGAAGCCCTCGTTCGCTCGACGCGCACTACTTCTCGTTGTTAACGTTATGCGGTCCCGTTAAGTCCCGGTCTACACAAAGTCACACGGCATAGCACACGGCCGGTGTGTGATCTGTGATATGTGAGGGTCCGCCCGCAGGCGCATTTTGTATACCGAGGCGGTGCCCGGTGCCGAACCTGTCGGACCTTAAGACAGCATTGTAGATCCCTGGGCGAGGGTGGTGGAGGGGGCCCCCGGTCCGGCGGCGGAGCAACCACCTCCTCCCCGGCAGAGCCCCCCCGGCGCGTGCCGGTACGACTACGAGCCTCTTAGGCAGGAGGATGTCTATGTCATCCCCCGTGGGATCCAGACCTGCCCCACGCCCCAGGCCATGGGGCTGACTGTCAGCGCTAAACCGTAACCCGCCGGGGGGCGGGCCGGATCCACGCGTTCCCAGACAGCCCCATTGGAGGTAGGCCGCTCGTCTAGCCAATCAGCCTTAAGCGAGCGGCCTGGCCGTTGGAATGGCCGAGTATCCGAGAGGCGGCAGCCTCTGCCCTCGGAGAGGGGGGGAGGTCTATGACCTACCTAGTTGTCCGGCATGCGAGGGCATGCTCGGCCGTTCGGAGTCCCCCCCTCGTAGAGGACGTCGGAGGGAGGGGAGGACGACTGTCTCCGCAGGCGGACCTCAGTTACGAGCCACCCTCCCCTCGAGACGCGAGGCCAGCGCACTTGGGGCCGAGCCCCAGCGTGCACCCTCCGTCCCACACGCCTCACGCGGCCTCTGGCTGGAGCGGGATCGCAAGCGGAGTCCCCCAGGCCGGCGCGCGTCTTCCGAGAGAGGAGCAGGAGCGAGGGACATTCTTAGTAAGGGGCATGCAGGCGCATGCACGGCCGTTCAGAAACTCTCCAGCCGTTGGAATGGCTGCGCTCCAGCCCCTCCCCGGGCCGAACGGGTAGTAGGCGTTGGCGCCGAGGAGGGAGGAGTCGCCGAAGGACGGGTAGTCGTCGGTCATGCGGGGGGAGGAGGAGTCGGCGAGCAGCAGGGAGGATAAATGCCTGAGAGGGTGGGGAGGGAGGCGTGAGGCGCGAGGTGAGGGGCGTGGGGGCGCGGGGCGCGGGGCGTGCGTGGGACGCGAGGCGTGAGGCGCAGGGCGTGGGGCGGGAGGGCGCGGGGCGCTCGAGGTGAGCCGATTAGACTTACCGTCTTCATGCATGCGCGCGCACACATGGAAATGTGCCGACGCAAAATCGTCCGTTTTTATTTGAGCGCTTGAGCACTGGATAGGGTCGATTCCGCATGGTCCATGGACCATGGTACGGGACCCCTCGATCGTCTCGCCCTCCCTCGCTGGTGTGAGTTATTTCTTTGCGAAATAGGAAGGGCTTGCCTGGGAAGGCTTGCCTCACTCTACTCGTGCTCTCTCACTCACTCACTTTCACACTTACTTGCACTTGATTGAGCACTTTGGGGCACTTGACGTGCAGTCGATAACCTCGCATCCAGGGCCGGGGGCCGGGGAGCTCTGTGAAGAAGCGGCTTGATTGAAGCACCGCGGCGGCCGGATGGATCGGCATCGGGCTGCGGGCTAGAGAGAGAGAGCTCATACACCGTGAATAATAAAGGACGTTCTGCGCCTAAAAAAGAAAGACGGGTGTTTTCTTTTGTTCGAGCCTGCTCATCTCGCAACCCCTCGGCTGCGACCTCACCGCCGCGGCCCCTCTCACACAGATATTCGGCCTCCTCATCGTCTCCTGACTCTCCATAGGGACTCACATGTCGCTTCTCGTGATCTCCGGGTTCAGCGGCGCGCTGCTGCCTCAGCGCTCAGCCGTGAGCATCCCGCGCTCGGCGGTGCATGCGATTGCCCGTGCCGCCGACGCCACGATGGCAATCGAGTCGGTCAAGGCGCGCCAGATCTACGACTCGCGCGGCAATCCGACGGTCGAGGTGGACCTTGTCGCGGGAGGCGTGCTGTCGCGGGCGTCGGTGCCGAGCGGCGCTTCAACAGGCGCCTACGAGGCGGTCGAGCTGCGCGACGGCGGCGACCGGCACATGGGGAAGGGCGTGCTCACGGCGGTCGACAACGTGAACAAGGTGCTCGCCCCGCAGCTGGTCGGGATGGACCCGACGGACCAGGCGGCGATTGATGCAAAGATGAATGGCCTCGACGGCACCGCAAACAAGGGCACCGTCGGAGCCAACGCCATCCTGGGCGTGTCGCTCGCGGCCGCCAAGGCGGGAGCCGCAGCCAAGGGCGTGCCGCTCTACCGCCACTTCGCCGACCTGGCCGGCAACAGCCAGCTGATGATGCCGGTGCCCTGCTTCAACGTGATCAACGGAGGCTCGCACGCGGGCAACAAGCTGCCGTTCCAAGAGTACTTTGTCATCCCGACCGGCGCAGCCTCCTTCAAGGAGGGCATGCTCATCGGCACCGAGGCGCGGCCGGCGCCGCGGCCGCCCTCGCCCTGACCGCGCCGCGGGCCGCCCACCCTCATCCAGCGCCCGCAGGTCTACCACAACCTCGCAAAGATCCTCAAGAAGAAGTTCGGCGGCGACGCCACGCTGATCGGAGACGAGGCGCGCCCCGGCGGTGCAGCGAGAGCAGCGCGCCGCACCGGTCGGCCCGGCCCTCGCCTCGCACTCCGCCACGCCCCTCCCCTCCCCTCCAGGGCGGCTTCGCGCCGCCGTGCGACTCGCGCTCCGGCGTGCCTCGCTCGAGGCGGGGCCGCCAACCTCGCTCGCGGCACGCCCACGACACGTCCACGACATGTGCGGTATAGGCATCGAGCTGGTGATGGAGGCCAT